ATTACCAACTATATAATAGAGTATTCCTGGACACTAATATCACCTCCTTCTTAAAGAAACCAAGAATTCTTAGAGAATGGTTGACTCCCAGTCTAAGGCAAAAATGTACAAGATAAATCTGAAACATCTCTTCATATAGGATAGTAAGTAAGTTATGAAGGACTGTTAGGATCATATCAAAAAGTTTCAAAAGATAAACTAAAGAGACATTACTAAAGAGGACAAAATTGGAGTTTATATAAGGACAGAAATTGCAGTGTTTTAAACCCATTAACTAAGTCCATATATAAAGGAACTATTTCATTTAAAAAAATCATTTTAGTTGGAGCTTGTACAGTTCTTATCACAATCCATACATATACCCATTGTGTCAAGCAAATTTGGACATTTGTTGTCATCATCATTCTCAAAATATTTGCTTTCTGCTTGAGACCTTGGTATTGGCTCCTCAGTTTTTTCCCCTCCCTCCCTGCTTCCCTCTCCCTCTCCCTCACGAATCCTTGATAATTTATAAACTATTATTATTTTGTCATATCTTACACTGTCTGATATAAAGGAACTATTTCATAATGACAGTTTTTTTCTTTTTTAAATCATTTTATTGGAGGCTCCTGCAATTCTTATCACAATCCATATATACATCCATAGTGTCAGGCACATTTGCATATTTGTTGCCCTCATCATTCTCAAAACATTTGCTTTCTACTTGAGCCCTTCATCTCAGCTCATTTTTTTCCCTCCCTCCCTCCACACCCCACATCCCTCACAAACACTTGTTAATTTATAAATTACTCTGATATTTTCAAGTGTTTTTTAATTGGGGGTGTACTTGAGTAGAGGCCCAATGCCCATCTGCTAACTTAATACTAAACCTATAAATATATGCACATAGATTTATTTCCCCATTGTCATATAAATATATTTACATGTGCATGTGCCTGTATTTAGACCTCCATAAATGCCTTTTGCCTCCAAGTTCTTTCCTCTTTTTCCTTTTCCTTTCCTCTTGTCTCACTATCATATTCAGCCTTCATTTGGGTTTCAGTAATTCCTCTCGGTTACAATACCATTGATCAAGCCCTTACCAGGCCTCCACACCTTCCTTGCCATCAATTTTGGATCACTTGTTGTTCCCTTGTCCCTAGATTTGTTAACACCTACTTCCTTTCCCCCCACCTCCCCTTCTCCCATGTGCCCCCGGAACTGTCTGTCCCATTGTTTTTCTCCTCCCGATTGTTTATCCCACCTGTCAATAGTTTTTTTTTTAATATCCTTTTTGGTGTGTTTGAATTTAAATTGTTTATTAGGGAGCTAACAGAGTACAGTTTAAGATACAGATCCATTTAAAAGTGATAGTAAGTACTCAGGAGGTGGTTTCTCAACAAAAACAGCTTCTTCTCACCTTTTGGGACCTTGCTATCAATGTACCCTGCTGGGACCTCCTGCATAGGGTCCTTCTAGGCACCTTATTAGACAAGTAGTCCAGCTCTCAGATTTGTTGGTCAGCAAGTCCCACAGCAGACACTGCACATCTGCCTCATGGTTGCTGTCATCTTATGCATATACCACCTAGTGAACTATACATTGAGCTACCGAGCTCTAAGGCAGTTCTTTAAACCCACCAGGTCATCTGCAGAAAAAGATAAGGCTGTTTGTCCTCTTTTTAAGACTTAAAAGCCTCAGAACCAAAAGGCAGTTCTAGTCTATAGGGTCACTGGAAGTCTGAATTTCCTCAATGGCAGTGAGTTGGTTTTATCGCTACACTACCATCTCTCTGTGGTCTAAACGCTCGGCTACATTGGCTTCTGTGTTACATTCTCAGCTGACTTTCCAAACCTCATAATCACACGGGTTGGTGTGCTTCATCCATGTAGGCTTTGCTGCTTTCCTGCTAGATAGCCGCTTGTTAGCTCCTAGCCTTCAAGACCCCAGGCTCTATATCTTGTAATAGCTGGCACCATCCACTTTCTTCACCACATTTGCTTATGCATCATTTTGTCTTCAGCGATTGTTTCAGGAAGGTGAGTATAACAGAATGACTGATTATTAGAACAAAGTGCTCTTGGATTAAGGGAGGATGTAAGTTGAGGCCCAGTGTCTGTCTGCTGCCTTAATAATTAACATATTAATATATATACATAGACCTATGTCTCTATCATTATATATGAATATATTTATATATATACAATCCAATATTTATACCTCTATAAATGGCGTTTACATCCTAGTTCTTTTCTCTATTTCCATTTACTTTTCCCCTGTCCCACTTTCATATTTCACCTTCATTCTGCTCTAAGTAATTCCTCTGGGTTACATTGCATTTGATCAAACCCCACCAGGTATCCTGAGACCTTCTCACCATTGATTTTAGATCCCTTGTTGGTTCCTTGTCCCTGAGTTTGTTGACTCTCCAAACCACTCCTCCCCACCCATCTTCCCTGCATCTTCTGCTCCCATGTCTACCCTCCAAAAAACCTATAAAGAATTCGAGGTCTTTCTGCTGACCCTTATGTATGTTTTCTGATCAGGTATGATGAGGTGCTCCAAGACCTGCCCCTGAGTCAGAAGTCTATTTTCAGGATTCCTCGGGGACTCCATTGCTTTGCTCCCCTTGCTGTTCTGTTGTGCTCACTTTGTTTTTCACCCTGGTGTGTGTGGGGGATGTGCGGGGAAGGGAGATCATCCCAGGCACAAATCCCACCCTATGTGTCCGGTGTGGGTCAGAGAAGGGGCACCATGTACGGTCCTCTCTGCATTGAGTGCTCTGAGCAGGAATATCATCCTGGAGTCTTGGTTGGCCAGTATGCGGTTCTCTTTTTCTCTCTCCTTCTTAGTTTGCTCCCATGTGGTTTGGACAGCTCCACTCCTCTCCCTGGAACTATATCTTCAGTGCTGTCCTCTGCAGTACATTCTTCTAGGGAGGGGTCAGCATAGCTTGAATTGGGACCAGCGCCAAAGTCCTCTCTGTTAATGAGTTGCTCCATGCTGGTAGGATGTCCTCAAGGCTTGTTGCACTGGTATGAGATCTGGTCCCTCTCTCCCTTTCCTGTGAAGACATTAACAATACTCTCCGTGTGGGTTAGTGTCCTGTTCCCCCATTACTTTCATCTTTTTCTTCTTCTTCTCCCTCTTCTCCTTTTTAGTTGGATACCATATGCATCCCTGGGTTGCGTCTGACTGATGGCAGAGTGACTGTACCCCTTCCTGGGAATTTATGCATGAAGTAGCTTTTCCTCTATACCCATTGTAGTTTTTAAATTTACTTCAGTGGGCTCATATTGTACTTGTCCTTTTTTGTTTGGCTTACTTTGGTTAGCATAATTTCCTCCAACCTTCCCATGAGACAATGTGCTTCATGCATTCTTCACTGTTTTTTAGGGATGCATAGTACTCCATTGTATGTATATACCAGGGTTTTTTGTTTGTGTTTGTTTTTGTTTGTTTTTAAATCATTTTATTAGGGGCTCATACAACTCCCATCACAATCCACACACACATCAATTGTGTAAAGTGCATTTATACATCATTCTCAAAACTTTCTCTCTCCACTCAAACCCCCGGCATTAGGTCCTCATTTTTCCCCTTCCTCCAAGCTCCCACCTCCCTTGTGAGCCCCTGATAGTTTATAAATTGTTATTCGGTCATATCCTGCCCTGTCCGACGTCTCCCTTCACCCACTCTTCTTTTGCCTGTCATCCAGGGAGGAGGTCACATATATTTCCCTGCAATCAGTTTCCTCTTTCCTACCCACTCTCCCTCTACCCACCCTGTTGTGTTTGTTTTTTAATACCAGAGTTTTTCATCTCTTTGTCAGTTAATGGAAATTTAGGTTGTTTCCAAATCTTTGTGACTGTGGACTGCACCGTGATGAATATTGGAGCACAGTTGGAGTGCAGATGTCTTGTCATGGTCTGTTTATTACTTTTTCTGATTATATGCCCAGTACAGTGATTGCTTGGTTATATGGTAGCTTGATTTCCGTGTGCTCTGGATATCGCCAGATTGATTTCCATATTGGCTGCACATACCTACAGGATTTCCTCCAGTGGATGAGAGTTTCTATATTACAATACCTGCTTTAAAGTAGTTTTCTGATTTTTTGAATTGGGCTTTTGTTGAGGGTGGTAGGTGGTATCTCATAGTTGTTTCAATTTGCATTTCCCTTTTGGCTAATGACAGGTAACATTTTCTCATATGCTTATTAGCCACTTGGATTTCCACCCTTGTGAAACTTCTGTTCAGTTATTTTGCCCACCTCCTCAATGGTCTATTTTTCTTTCTCCTTACGTAAGCTAGCAGAGTATTGTAGATTGTAGTCATAAGGCCTTGGTTTGATGTGTCATTGCTAACTAACTCCTTTTCTGCCCTCAGGTGAGTTTCAAGCCCATGCAACTTTCTAAAACTAATATTATTACAGAAAAAGAATGAAAAGGAAGTCCTTTAGATTGTTGTTAGAAACCTTACTTATAAGAAGCCTCTTCAGCTACCTGCCTCCTAAAGAAGGATTCTGTTATTGAATAAAATAGGCAAAGTCTTTAGGAACAGAAGTGGGTCTTCTAAAATGATAATAATGATTGCCAGATTCTCTTTAAATGATGTAAATCAGGAGTGGTGTGAAAGGAACTGAAAAAGATCCTATTTGGTGCTGGAAATACTAGGCTTCTTCTTGTATTCTCTCTCTCTCCCTCTCCTCCCTTGGCGTACAGCATCTTTACAAGACATGAGGAATGTAGAGTGTCAAGGGGTCAGGTTAAGTCCAGTGTGAGTTGATGACTCAGGAAGGTGGGGAGGAATAAGAGCAATGTTCTTGGTTGTGTAGGACTCCATGCAGCTCATGGGTCAGCTGGGAAACACTGTCTGCCAGCCCAAGCCTCACATGAAAACTCTTGCCACTGGAAGGAGGTGACCACTGCAACTCCAATCACAGGGAGAGACTGCCTCCAAGCCAATGCCAGCCACCTGGCTGACAGTATCCAACACAGCTACGTTCCAGCGCATTCATGTATGTACTTCCAGCAAAAGCCCAAGGCAGACTGCTGACCAAGCTGACCTCCAGCGCCTGTTCAGCTGTAGCCATCCACTCCGCAACAGCACGCATGTCTGCCACCAGCACCGGCTCAGTTCTCTTTGCCTTGGTGCTCCTGCTCATGCTCTGCAGCGGGGTATGCAAGGCCAACCCTGCCAGGCGGGGACTCAGGGGGGGTCACAGAGCTGGGCAGAGGTGGTGGCCCATGATTCTGTCCTGCCGAGGTTGCCGCTGACAGCCACCTCTCTCGGCAGAGAGCCACCGCTGAGGACTGCAGCAGACAGTGCCAGTGTGCTACCACGGAAACACCCAGCTGCCTTGTTGGCGCAACCCTGGTGCTGGATGCCTGCGGATGCTGCCCATGTGCGCCAAGCAACTGGGCGCTTTGTGCACGAAGCGTGAAGTCTGTGACATGCGCAAGGACCTGTACTGTAGCTATGACTCCCCAACCAAAGGCAGGATCGGAGTGTGCAGAGGTAGGACCTACAGCCCGACACCCGACGATACTTAGTGTCCATCCAGCTCCTCGCTCACTGAAACACCAGCAAGAAATCAAATTTCAAATTTCTCTAGCTGCTCATAGTCCATCCACATCCCTGACGTGCTTTTACTTCCAGCTCCAGAGACTAATTTAACACACCCCTCCATCTCCTTCCTCTCCTTCAGCTAAGGAAGGTGCCTCCTGCTATGTTGAAGGGAAGGAGCACAAGAATGGAGAGAGATTCCAGAGCGGCTGCACTGAAATGTGCACTTGCAGGAGTGGGAAAGTGAGCTGTAAGCCCCTGTGTCCACCATCTATTGGCCTGCCCAGGCCTGACTGCTCCTTCCCGCAGTTGGTCAAAATTCCAGGGAAATGCTGTGAGGAATGGGTGTGCGATAAGTCCAAGAACAACACAATGAATGGCTCTGCCCTTGCAGGTGAGTTGATTCATGATTTCCCCATGTGTGATGTACTCCTGTCAGAAACAGTGAACCCAGAGGCTGAGTCCTAACATTGGACTTACCTAGATTTTGTGTGCTTTGTCCTCATGGCTTACCAACTTGAAGAGGCTGTTTCCCCAGACCCAGGAATGATGCAACCCAACTGTCGGGTCCAGACCACAGAATGGAGCGCCTGTACCAAGACTTGTGGGTTGGGCCTCTCCACTCGGTATACCAATGACAATGCTGTGTGCATGGAGGAACAGCAGACCCGCCTCTGCTTCCTCAGGCCTTGTGAAACTCAACTGGAAAAGAAGATAAAGGTATCTTACTATTCTGCTTTTATTCACTAATTTTCCTGAAATGCAAATGGATAGGACCAAAGCTTAGGTCCCTTATCAGCCTTGTTATTACAGGCCCATTATCTTCCCCAAATATTAACCATTGAGCCCTTTAAAAGGAATGGGATGCTGTGCAATAGGAACCAACAGCTTCCCCCTACAGAATCTGCCACAGCGTTAGTAAGTTTGAGACATCCTAAGTCAAGCTAGGTCTATTTCTGCAAAACTTACAAGTGAGACTCAAACTTCCTCTCCTCAAAATATAAGAAAAAGTCAGAAAAAGTTAAGATTGTGGCTGAGACAGAGTTCAAATAGGCCACTCTTTACGTAAAGTCACTGATTTCTTCTCCCTTGTCTTTCTTAGGAGGGCAACAGTTGCATCCCTACCATCAAAATACCCTATTCTATCAGGTTGCAGTTTGATGGCTGCCTCAGTGTGGGTAGCTACTTTATCAAGATCTGCGGAGTCTGCACAGATGGCCGGTGTTGTACACCTAAAAAAACCAGCACCATGCCTGTGGTGTTCAGGTGTCTTGATGAACGTGGTATCATACAGACCAACGTGATGTTCATCAAGGCCTGCAAATGCCACTACAACTGCCCTATAGGCAGTGACAGCTTTACATCATCATCCTAGAAGATGTATGGAGACCTGGTTTAAAGACAGAGTGAGAGATATTATCTCAATAAACTGTAACTTGAACTGTTTTACATCTTTGTGTGTGTTTGTGTGTAAACATGAATTCATTTAGCACAACTTATTTAAATATATATTTTCCAAGAGGGAAAATGAATTCCCACCTGAATCTAAACTTCTATCAACTACAGAAACCTGTTTGAAGAAAGTAAAACTTGACAATGACACCTCATTAGCTCCCAACAGCATGGTATTTTATGGGGTGGGGTTTAGGGAGCAGTTGGAGGTACCAGGAGAAATGAGTTGCATCGGGAACAATGTCATCCTAAAGTGGTAAGCAGATCGCTATGTTGGAAATGTAATGCAAGCTTGATGACCTGCCTGCAACTCCAGCAGTTGTAAGGATGTGTGTTCAGGGCCATCAAGAGGCTGAGACAAGTTGTTCTGGAAGGCAGAACAGCAGACTCGGCTTTGACATTCTGATTTCAGTGGCAGTGTTCAGGAATCAGAATCCTGCCTATGACACTGGACAGCTTGTGGCAAAGTTGTTTGCCTGTTACAAGCCAGATTTAAAACAAATTTCTATTGTCCAGATTTAAAACAAATTTCTATTGTACATGTTTCCATGGGAGCATTTGTTCCTACATTGACTATGATTGTTTCCTGGACAGTTTATTTGTTGAGAGGATGACCAATAGTTACATGTTTGCACCTTTCTAGTTGAAAATAAAGTATGGATTTTTTCTATAAAGTACTTATTTTTCATTTATTTTTCCAAACTAGTGGTTCTCAACTCTCCTAATACCATGGACCTTTTAAGACAGTTCCTCAGGTTGTGGTGATACCTTTTGTGGGTGTATCTGCATGTGGGCGGACCCACCTGGAGACAGATAGAGGAGCAGTGTCTCATTTCCCAAGACCATCAGAAATATCGTCTTAGGGAACCCCTGTGAAAAGGTCGTACCAGCCCCAAAGGGGTCATGACCCCCAGGTTGAGAACCGCTCATCTAAACATTTCTGAATTCTCTTGAGTATAAATGGAAAGGTTTCATTTATTTGGTAAAACAATTTACCTACATTTTTCTAAAAAATGTGTCGCTAGTATATCATATATGTACTAATGAACTGGTAATTCATTTCAAAGGAATTTTTTACATAAATATATTTAACATTGAATCAAGGTTTTGAAAATACTATTATTGAACATGCAGACATATAGTGTTTATGTTCACCGTATTTTATATACAGTTTAAAGTCAATACTCTTATTATTTCAGCCTCCACTAACCCTTTTGATCTCACGTGGCCCCGTTTACAGAACATTGGTGGTATAATGGTTTATGCTTTGGGTTGCTAACTGCAAAGTCAGCAGTTAAAACCCACCACCCCTTGGGGAGAAAAATGAGATTTTCTGCTCCTATAAAATATTTACAGCTTTGGAAACCAATAGAGGTAGTTTTAACCTGTCTTATAGGGTCACTATGAATTAGAATCAACTCAATGCTAGTGCTTTTGGAGTGAGTTTTTTGGCCTTCTTTGTATTTACTACCATTCTGAACACTGTGGGCATTTTATATCCAATTGTTTACATCACAGAGCTAGTCTATGCCCTTTGTTGTGTTTGCATGCTCTGCAATCTAACTGCTCAGTCGTAGAAATGTAAAATAAAACAGGCATTGAAATGTTGCCAGCAAATCAGTATAACTTTGTACAATTCCTTTTTCAATTGCCAAGATAGAAAAACACAATTAGATGATATTAGTAGAAAAAGAGATAAGCAAATCTATCATCCACTGGCATTAATATGATGTCTGAAATTTAAATCAGCAATGCCATTTTCCCAAGTCGTTCAGTTTATCACAACTCAAGATTAACCTATGTTATCAAGTGGTTTCAGAGCGATAAAATGAAACTTTTCAAGAAATTAAGTGTACAAATGAGATTGGAGCTATCCAGACTTCTACTGAAAAGTAAGCTAAAGGAATACCCAAGCGAAACTAGATAATTAGGTTTTTCCAGAACTAAGTAGTTGAGAAGTTGGGGGGTTAGGGGTGGCGGAATAGTCCCAAACAAACAAAGCTGCCATCGAGTAATTAGCAATATTTTCATGCTGGTGTCATTCAAGAGACAAAAATACACTTGGAAACATATACTAATTCTACAAGCAGTGCCACAAAGCACAAAGGAAAACCTTCCCATGCTCAAAAGTGAAAAGTGTTTCTGGCCAAAACATCAGACTTCTGGGATACACCCATACATGTATATAGCAACACTGCCAGTAGCAGCGCTCCACTCTCCCAAATAAACACACATGGAGAGAGAGAAAGAATCTTGCTCACCTTTAATTTCTCTCAATGGATTCCTAGCTGAAAAGATAAGGACACTATAAGTGAATCTGGCTGTTCTAAAAGGATTTGAAAAATTCTAGGAAGATAGTAGTGGTGAAAACATAGATTTTAAATTCTCCATATTGTCACATCAAAAGAGAGTATATTAAACTAAATTCATTCATCTATTGATAGAAATTTAGGCTGTTTCAAATGTTTTGTGATTGTGAACTGTGCAGTTCACCGTCCTTTTCTGTGCTTTGGAAGAGTTTGTGTAGCATTGGTATCAGCTCTTCCCTGAATGCGTGGTACTATTCTCCTGGGTAGCCAACAGGGCCAGGACGTGTTTTAGATCAATGAGAGGGGGACAATCTAGGGATATACACACAATAGGAAGAGGAGGAATTGGGGTATACAGGTGACAAGATAGGCGGATCCTAGATTCAGGATGGCAACCTAACTTTGACGTCACTGAGCAGGTTTGAACTGTTCTCCGGATCTCCATAGAAACCATTATCAGAGGGTGTAGATCCCACCTACAAGGACCAGACTAATGGCACCAAGCCTTTAGGGAGAAGTAGCCCATTGTCCTTAATAGCAGGGAGCAGGCCCTACCTGTGGTGGGCCCAGACAGTCGTCTGGCAACTGACTGCCTTTAGGGAGGTAACTTGACAATCATTTACCATTAGCTGCAAGAAGTGTCCTAAGTCTAACATATTTGGGGGAGACGACTTGGGAGAAATCTTTGATTCCCACACAAAAAGTACACCAAGCTAATGGTAATTACAAAAATATCGGGAGTTGAAATCCTAATCTATGACAAAAATTGATTATCAAGGTGCAGGATGTAAAAAGAGATAAGGATGGGCACTATATAATCCTTAAGAAACCAGTGGACCAAGAACCAGTGAACATAATAAACATATATGTGCCACATGAGAAATCCATGAAATTCATCAATCCAATTCTTCAAAATATTATAAAACAAATCACTGGATCAACAAGCCAGCTGGTGATTTTCTCACTCTCTGAGAAAGACAGATAAGTGGGAAAGAATCTCAACAATGAGGCTACAGCACTAGACCTGATTGGCATGTTCAGAGCTCCCAACTGCAAGAAAATCCACATTCTTTCCATATACGTGCACATTGCACGTATATGAAAATAGACCACAATCTGGGACATAAGTCAAGCTTGAGTAAATTCAAGCATACAGAGATCACTCAGACTTCATTCTCTGACCATTACTCCATAAAGTTAGAAATCAATTAACAAAAGATTTTTAAAAAGCTAAGGGCAACACTTGGAGAATGAATAACTTACTTCTTCAAAAGGAGTGGGTACTGATGAAATAAGACATTTCTAGAAACTAATGAGAATGAGAATACAACATCCCAAAGCTATGGGAAACAGCAATGGCAGGTTTCAGAGGATACTTGATAGCAATAAATTCACATGTGAAAAAGTAAGAGAGACTTATGTTTGATACTCCATCATAAAATCGTCAGCATTTGAACCAGAGTCAACGAAAGAACCTTTCTTACAAGCAAAAGAAAAAAAAAAATCAGGGCAAAGATTAAGAAGTGGGACAACAAGGAAAGAACAGGAAAAAAATCAACTCAGTAAAAAGCTGGTTCTTTGAAAGGATTAACATATTTGACAGCTGTTGGAAAATATAACAAAAGATTGGAAGGAACAGACTTCAATCTATATCCAATATAAGGGATGAAACCAGGGAAATTACAACAGACCCTATTGAAATTAAAAGACTAATTACACTGTACTATGAAGGTCTGTACTCCAATGAATACAACAACTTGGAAGACAAGGAAAAATGCTTGGAAAACAACCCCCCTCCCCGATGATCTCATATAGATGTCAAGATCCTGAACAGACCCATAGCAAAAGAAGAAATACGTCGGTTTATCAAGAAACTACCACCTAAAACACGTCCTGGCCCAGATGGCTTCACTGGAGTATACTATCATGCATTCAGGGAAGATCTGATACCAATTGTACATAAGCTCTTCCAGAATACATAAAAGGATGCTAAACTTCCAAACACATTCTATGAAGCTAGTATAACACTGATGACAAAACTGAGAAAAGATCTCACAAGAAAACTACAAGCTGATATCTCTAGTGCACATTGATGCAAAATTCCTTAACAAAATTTTGGCCAATAGAATATAAAATAATATACAATGAATAATTCACCATGACCAAGTGGGATTCAATCCAGGGATGCAGGCATGGGTCAGCATCCAAATATTCATCATTATCCATCATATTGACAAGAAAGAAAAAAAACAACCCATGATAATATTAGATGCAGATAAAGCATTTGACAACATTTGACAACCATTCCTAATTAAGACACTCAAGAAGACAGGATTGCAAGATAATTACCTCAATATAATATAAGCTATATATGAAAAACCAACAGCCAGTATTAAATCCATGGATAAAAGGTGAAAATATTCCTACTGAAAAAGTGGATCCGACAAGGATGCCCCTTGTCCCCACTTTCATTCAACACCATCCTAGGGGTCCTAGTTAATCACATAAGGCAATGGATGCACATCAAAGATATTCACTGGGGAAAAGTGAAACTATTATTATTTGCAGATGTTATGATTTTATATATTGAGAACCCCAAGGCTCCACAATAGGTGTGCTGGAAGCAGTAGAGGAATAT